ATTCTCCGGATGGGACTCCAAATGTGCACTTCGCCGGGTTCAGCTTCATTTGATATTTATTGAGAATATCAAAACATTCTTCCAAATGTTTAACATGATCTTCTTTCTTCAACGATTTAACCAACATATCATCTATGTAGACTTCCATAGTCTTCCCGAGGTGATTGTGAAACATTTTGTTCACCAACCGTTGGTAAGTCGCTCCTGCATTTTTCAAACCAAAAGGCATTACCTTGTAACAGTAGATACCTCTATCTGTGATAAATGACGTCTTTTCTTGATCGTCGGGGTCCATCATTATCTGATTATAACCCGAGAAGGCGTCCATGAATGTTAACAGCTCATTTCCAGCGGTGGATTCTACAAGTCGATCTATATGCGGGAGCGGGAAACTATCTTTGGGACATGCTTTATTTAGGTCTGTAAAGTCGATGCAGACCCTATCTTTCCCATTCTTTTTCTTGACAACGACAGTGTTTGCTACCCACTCCGGATATTGCACTTCTCTTATGGACCCTATCTTCAAAAGTTTATCCACTTCGTCGTTTACTATTTTTGCCCGCTCCACTCCAAGCTTTCTTCTTTTTTGTTTCACCGGTTTGAAGCTTGGATCTACGTTCAGTTTATGACAGATTATACTCGGATTTATGCCCGGCATGTCCGCTGCTGACCATGCAAATGATGCTTTGTTTTTCCTTAAGAGTTCGATCAAGGCTTCCTTTATTTGGCCAGTCAAAGTTGCTCCAATTCTAATTTTCCGGTCCGGCTTGTCTTCTTCCAGTTCCACTTCGACTACTACATCCTCTTTCTTCTGCCCACTAGGAAACTTTGTTTTTTGCCCTTCTTTCGCGGGCTTCGTTAATTGCTATTGAATCTTCATACGGTGGCTAGCTAAGTAGCATGTTCGCGAAGCTTCTTGGTCTCCCCGAATTGTTTCCACCCCATTTGATGTTGGAAATTTGATACATTGATGGTATGTAGAGGGAACTGCTTTCATTCGATAAATCCAAGGAGTCCCAAGGATGATGTTGTAAGCTGCGGGCTTATCGAAGACGACGATGTCCACAATTTTCGATACTTTTTTGGCAAGGACCGGTAGCTTGATTGTCCCGAGAGACATGGCTGATTCGCTAGTGAATGCAACTAATGGAGTCGGAGGTCCTACTATGTCTCCTCGGCTGATTCCTATTTTTTCTAGAGTACTTAAAAAGATCAAGTCGACCGAACTGCCTGTATCTATAAGGATCCTTGATACTTCGAAGTTTGCGACATCAAGAGTAATGACTAGAGCATCGTCATGCGGTCTTTCGAGATGCCGCGTTTCTTCTTCGTTAAATGATATTGAAGCACCTTGAAAATCAACTTCTTCGCTCAAACTTGCTTTGAGTAAGACATTTCGTCTATGTTTTTTGATGGAACTTATTGAATCTCCGCAAAATCTGGAACCTCCTAGAATCACATTGATCTTCCCCTTCGAACTCCTTGGTTCTTCCTCGTTGGATAACCTTGGTCTTTTGGAATCTTGATCTTTGGAGTTTTCCTTTGCTTCATGGTATTCCTTCACAAAGTCTTTTATATCGAATTTAGAAAGATCGCCACTAGCCCAAAGCTCTGCGAGGTGCTTTTTAAGAACGCTGCAATCCTTGGTTAAATGTCCGGTTACTTTATGAATGTCGCAATATAGACTTTCATCACGGACCCAAGTGTTTGATCTTCCTTTCCCTTGGAATTGCTTCCCGACGGAATTGTTGAAGGGTTGCGACCCAAACTTCCTTGGTCCTTTGCTCTCTTTAGGCTCGAACTTCTTGGTAGGGACGGTGATTGCCGTCTTTTCTTGTTTATTCCGTTTGGCAAAACTTTCTTTTTTGTCTTCTACCTCCATCCAATTGTTTGCGCGGAAGAGTGCATCCTGAATTGTGTCTGGTTTATGAAGTATTAAGTCTTCTTTAAACCTTGAATCATGTCGCAATCCTTTTCGTAGGGCGGATAAAGCCGATTGCTGGGAGATTCTTGGGAGTTTTGACAGCACTCCTTTGAATTTGGTGATGAAAACTCGAAGTGACTCATTAGATCCTTGCGTTAAGTTCCAAAGATCGGCATCCGAGATGCTTTTATCCATAAGGATAGAGTATTGCTTTAAGAATACGGCTGATAGTTCGTCGAAATTGCTGATCGAACTCGGCTCTAATTGGGTGAACCACATTAGAGCTTGGCCACATAGATTTTCCGAAAACAGCTTGCAATAGCCTGCGTCCTCATCAGCTTCATCCAACTCGACTCTTCCTGCAGCGATCAGAAAGGCTGCAAGATAGCTTTTTGGATCCTCCAATCCGCTGTAAGGGTCCAACTTGAGCTTCCGGGAATCTTTGATCCTCAAACTTGCAATTCGCGGGATAAAAGGGGTTCGCCTAGCTTCTTCAATGACTCGATTGATGTCTGGCTCCGAACTTGTAGCCTGATGAAATTTTGATTTCATTTCCTTTAATTCCTGGCTAACCTTCCTCATGGTCTCGAACTGGTTGAGGTTCTCCTGCTCGTACTGAGCTGCAAGTTGTTCTTCATCCTCGAGCTGCGTCTCTTCTTCCGACGTCTGAGCTACATTATTAGTAGCACCGGGAGTTGTTTGCCCGCTGGTTTCATTTCGTGCAGCGGAACTTGGCGAGTTGAATATCCCTCTTCGGGTTCCCACCGGGTTTCCTGCACTTAAAGAGCGAACACGAGTTTGTATATTATTGACGTTTTGACTAAGAGATACCTGGGATGTTTGCAATGTATCGACGGCCCTCTCCACATCCGAGAACTTTTGTGATATGTCCGACATGGTTTGCTGCATAGCTTTGAGGGTTTCGGCCAATGATGTCTCAACGGCGTCTCCTCCGGACATTGTTGTTTATCTCGGAAATGTAGAAAAGAAGAAATCTAACCACCCAAGAATCCAAATATCCCCACAGACGGCGCCAAAATGTGGATGTCGGATTCACACACTCAAGTATTTTTGTTAGGTGGGAAAGTTTATTCTTGGGGGACAAAAATGAATATATGAAAACTTATAAATTGATACGAAAATTGCTATATTATTTTTCTCTCCAGAGGAAGATCCCCTTTACATGGCCATCGGCCTCTATATTTATACACCGATAAACGACATTAAAATGAGTAATTAAGCACAATTATTTCTTCTTAAATGTGTCCGTTTTGATTCTTCGGCTTTAATGCTCAATGTTTGAATTTGAGTTGACTCTGATCTTCATGGGCCTCGCCTCTTTCGGCCCAAGTGTTCGTGAACCGACTTACCCGTGTCTTCTACACCGAATTCGTGTCACAGTGTAGTCACTTCGGATTCTCGAAATGGTGACAACCACTTCGACCGTCCCTTCGGCTCACGGGTCCAATGGGCTTCATCCTTTATGGGCCATTATCTTGATCACGTGGCAATCTTTGGTTGGTCTCGTACTTCTGGTGCGGGATCCGACACCAACACCCACGTTATCTGGATCATAATTTAGGTTCCTCTAAAGTGAAGAATCATACATTTTCGCCAACAATTTCATTTCTTTCCTTTTCTTTCGATTCAATCTCGCCTCTTTCGTTTTCTCTGTGGATCTAGATTATTGAATTTTTGGCTTTTGATGGGAAGACGAAACAAATAGAGGATTTAGTTTGATTTTTTATGAAGTGAGAATTATATTAGTTGCAGGAAGAAGAGATCATGGGCGAAGAGATCGTGGAGCAGTTGAAGAAACTATTTTTTTTTTTATTCATCTTTTTTTTAATTGATTTTTTTTTCTTCTCCAATAATTAGGTTTATGTTTAAAAAAGTGAAAGACTAAAATTTGAGATTTACGCCACGTGTCAAATGGAGAGGGTTGCAGTTTTTTGTGAATTGACTTGTGATTTATTATATAAGAAAATATGTTTTTCGATGTAAACACATCTGCTCCGAATAGGTTCCTAATTGAGGAAAGCTTCCACCGTCCGATAACTTAATAAAATGGTGTTTGGCGAAAAAATAATATATATATATATATATATATATATATATATATATTTTCTAGTTTTAAAAATATTGCTGTCGTTAAATTAAAGAGATTACAAAAGTTATGGATAGTAAACCATTCAATTTTACTTTTGGGGTGGGGTGGAAAAGATAAGTTCATAAAAAGTAAATGTTGACTCAATTTTGTGATTTCAAAAGAATTGTAGAAATATCAGTGTTCTAAAAAGCGGTCTAGGCGGTCGCCTAGGCCCCGACTAGGCGCTAGGCTCTCATGCGACGCCTAGATAACCGCCTTGACCGCCTAAAATTACATAGATCTTGTTTAATGTATTTTTTCAATTTTAATTAGAGTTTTAATTATATATATAGTTATAAATATTCATATATTGTTTGAATATAAATATAATTAAATTTTTTATCTAGTTTTTGTTTATAATTTCATAATTTTTAGTTTTATTAGATATTTTATATAACTTTTATATATGATATCATATTTATTATGTTTTATGTTATAAACGTCTAAACCGCCTAAAAAATCGCCTAGGCTCCGATTAGGCGTTCTAGGCGCTAGGCATTGGGTCACCGCTCGCTTAACGCCTAGCGCTTTCTTGAACACTGAGAAATATACATATTTAGTTGGATATTAGATTATGGTTAAATAATATTTCTATTATGGACCTATTAACCCGGAACAAACCGGTTGAATAAATATAATTGAACCGAAATATTATTTAACCATAATCCAATTGTATTTAAAGCGAATGACCAAAAGTTGTAACAAGAAGAGAAAACACACTCTTAGGTTTAATAATAACAAATGATGATACTTATAGAAGATGGGGGATGTGCCTTTAGTCAAGTGGTTAAGTCCATTTGACTTCGTCTTCCCCACCGGAGTTCGATTCCACTAATTCGGGTTACCCCGCGTAATAGGGATTGGCTATGGATCGGGTCTTGTCGATCCAAAGATGTAAAAAAAAAGAAGATGCTTTCTTTCTTATTCTTTCTTAAACATTTACACAAATATTAAAGTATACGTATGGGCTAAAACTTAAGAAATATTATACAAACAAGGGCCAATAGATATAACCTAACATTCATATCCTTCTATTTCTATGTACATAGAGAAAATATAAGTAGCATATATCGAAGCAACCCCAAATCTCAAAGTATTTCTTGGAGAACACACATATTGATATTATCGGCCAGTAAGCTCGGTAATGTCCTGGCTCCCTGTAAGAGAGTAGTCAACAACACCAAAAGATGGAGGCATTACTGGCCATACGAAAGCCGGTCTCTCTGTAGGCACATTGGGTGGGCTAGTTTCACCCGTCAAGACCTTCAAAACAGTTTTCATGGAAGGTCTTAGGTTCGGATTTGGGTGGCAACAAGCGAGTCCTAAGAGCAAAACGCTTTTCATCTCTTCTTCATCAAACAAACTTCCCATTCTTGGATCCGCAGCATCCATTATGGTTCCATTTCTGTATAGCTCCCATAGCCAATTCACAATGCTATTCTTGTAATTGCTCTCGTTCTCCTTAACCAAGACATAACTCGGTTTCTTCCCGGAGACTACTTCGAGCATTAGAACTCCGAATGCATACACATCCGTTTCAACCGTAGCTCTCCCGTTGAGAAAAGTCTCGGGAGCCATGTATCCCGGTGTTCCAGCAATCTCGTTTGTCGAATGGTGTGTCATTTCGCTTTGCTGAATCATCCTCGCAAGCCCGAAATCGCCAAGCTTTGCGTTGAAATCCGAGTCCAGCATTACGTTGCTTGCTTTTATGTCTCTATGAAGTATCCTCTTCTCACATCCATTGTGAAGATACTCCAAAGCTTGAGATATCCCTCTTATAATGTGTTTCCTTGTCTCCCATTTTAGGTTTGAACTTGACTTGTCTTCCACGAAAACATATCTGTCCAAGCTTCCGTTCGGCATGTACTCGTAAACCAGAAGAAACTCCTTTCTCTCGTAGCACCATCCCAATAACTTCACCAAGTTCCTATGATTCAGATTACCGATCGTTTTGATCTCGGATATGAACTCTTGCTTCCCTTGACGCGATTTCTCGGAAACTCGTTTCACAGCTATATCTCTACCCTCCCACTTCCCCTTAAACACCATCCCAAACCCGCCTTGCCCGAGTTTGTTCTCCCCGCTGAAGTTTCCCGTTGCTCTCTTCAGCTCTCTTAGCTTGAACTTCTGCGGGTGTGCACCGCAATTATCTAGCTCAGCTTCTATATCCGGATTTGTTTCCCCAGCCTTTGACCTAGATCTTAAGTATAGTCCACATAAGAAAGCTCCTATTACAACAGCACACACAGTAGGGGTAATGATCCACAAGGACCACAACCATATATTTCTATCTCCATCGACCTCTAAACCTTCAAAACTCCATGATTTCACACAATTCAGTTGCGTAAAATCGCTTGTTGAAGCCGTAAATCCAATGTAAACATTCTCTGGAAGATAGGCTGATAGATCTATAGGCCAAGAAAACACCAAGTTTCGCTGATCATGTACCTCCGGGTTTCTTGAGACATATACCGAAAGATTCTTACCATCATACCGTACATGTGCGGTAAAATCAATACTGGAATTGATCGTGATCCCTCGACTGCTCAACGATTCTTGAACAACCGAATTTATGTTGTTCACATTTAGAGCCACATGGTTTCCATCAAGATCATCAGGATGGTTCTTCCTTGTGTCGAACTCAACCGCAACAATCCTCGACTCGCGAGTCCCATTTGTCCTTTCGTTCATCAAGCCGAGCCACATACCCGAGCTGTTTTGAGGGACGTTCTTCTCAGGTGTGAGAACAAAGGCTAAGCCTTCGCCTCCAAATTCGGTTTGGTTCTTGATGTTAATAACGAAAGTGGTGTTAAAAGTAGATTTCTTGCCTTTTCTCCATAGCCTGAAACGGTCCTTGTAGACCGTGCGTCCCGAGAGGTTCGTGATAGGAGCACCACGAGCTTCAGGAGTCACTTGGAGTGCTTCAAAAGCAATGTCGGAGTAGTTTAGATACAAGTTCGAATCACCGTTAAACTTAGAGAAATTGAACTTCATGCACTTCACTTGTGTTTCGATCTTACAAGTTATAGTTAGAATCAAGAACAGGAGCTTGCACGCAGGAGAATATTTCATTTTTATTATTTGCTTTTGTTTTGTGTTTTGTTTTGTTCCAGATATAACATTAAATAACATATTATCATGGAGCATGTACGATTGTTTTTTTTTTTTTTAAATGTACGATAGTTTCCTCGAAATTGCCATTCAAAATTTGACTGCTGAAGTTATCAAACAATAAAATAAAAAAATTTGACTGTTGAACTTTCTGATTTGGAAATTTGGTTTCTACTTTTCAACTGGAAAAAAACGAAAAATGATTGGTTTGTTGCTTGCTTTTCAACAATAAAATAGGGATGTGTTAATGGATTGTAATTTTGTAAGTGTGCAAAATGTTGATGTTATTGGTCCCATTTTTTTGGCAATTTCGAGTGACAAACAAGGTTGACCTGTCACAATTTATAATTCTATCTATCTATTAAAAAATTCTGTTAGAAAATCTACCTTACTAAATTAATATACAGATATAAGTTGAAATTTCTAGTTTAGAATTGGTTTCGACTTTTCAACTAAAAGATATTTCTGTTTCTAAAAAATCTCAATCCATCCCAGTCCTGTTGAGAGCGATAACAAAGAATTAACATATCTTAAAAAATATATATTAAAGGGAATTTATACAAATTAACCATAGATTCAAAGAGAATATACAAACAAACCATGAACTACAGTAACATATCGGTAATATGTCGGAATACATGTGTAGTTACGTAAATGTCATTTGTAACACGTTTTTTTTTTTCGAATTACATGTGATAGCATAATATATCTTTTTTTATCATGTATCTTTCTTGTAATACACGTTATTTATAAAGAACACACGGTATTTTTTGAAAAAAACATTCTATTCAGTTTAATATCTCTCTTTATCATGTTATTTTGAAATAATATACGAGTTTTATTAAGATCACATGATTTCTTTTTAAAAAAGATGATTATTTTTTAGTAATACACGATTTTTTTTAAGATTACATGTGATTTCTTTTTAAAAATATTCTATTCAGATTAAATTTTCCAGAACAATGTTTTTTCTTAAAAAACACTACGTAACAATGTTTTTTCTTAAAAATTCACTATGTTTTTTGAAATATCATGTCTTTTAGTTAAATATAACATGTGAAATTTAAATGTTACATGCTATTTTAAAAAATCTCACGAAACTGTCTCGCATATCGTTGATCTCGCAACAAACAAAGGATAGTTTTGGTATTTCACTTCATCTGACAACGTGGGACCATGACTATTTTGCAACAAAAAACTTTTTCTCTGCTATTTTTTTAATTTCAGTGTTTTATTTGGCTATTCAATAATATTAAACATATCTTAACTTTTTATTTTTTTATTTTTACTAGGTTCTATTTGGTAATTGGTACCATGCATACACGAGATGACTTTTTTAAAAATTTGATCACAAAAGTTTGATTGTAAAAGTGATATATTAAAGAAAGTCATTGATGTTTATGTGTCAAGTTCACAATTTTTGTTAATCCGTTTGTGGAGTATTTTCCCAACTCTTTCGTCGATTTGATCCCGCTCTCATCACTGATCTGCTCGGCCAAGTCCCTGTGAACGTTCTCCGAGAAAAATATTTTTGACTTTTCCAAGCTCACTTTTTGCCCTGAAGCGACACAAAACCTTTCAAGTACTCTCCTTATCACTCGTATTTGGGCCACAGAAGCCTCTGCGAAGAGGAGAACATCTGCAAAACAGATATGTGACAACTTCGGCCCTCCTTGCGATATAGATATCGGCTTCCAATTTTTCCCAGTAACTGAGACATCGATGAGATGACACAATCTCACAAGACAAAGTACAAACAAGTATGGCGATAGCGGGTTCTCTTGTCGGATCCCGCGTGATGGCGTAAATTGTTCTGTCTTTTCTCCATTCCATAGAATTTGCATTGAAGGGCCCGTGACACAAGTCATTATCCAACTCACCCACTTATTCGGAAGACCCGCAGCCGTGAGAGTATCTTCTAAAAAGTCCCATCTTATTCGGTCGTAAGCTTTTTCCAAATCAAGCTTCAGTAACATCCACCCTTTTCTACCTTTCTTCTTCCACATAGAGTGGACCGCTTCTTGCACAACCACGATGTTATCCGTGCTTAATCTTCCTGGTATAAAACTGGCCTGGGCTGGACCTATCAACTTAGATATCACTCCTTTAAGCCGAGTTACCATAGTCTTCGTAATGATTTTAAATAATACATTACAAAGACTAATTGGCCTGAATTGTATTATCCTTTCTGGCTTTGCCACTTTGGCGATGAGAAAAACCAATGCAGCGTTCATATCCGGTGGCAATGTCCCTGTTTCAAAAAAATCCAATACAAAGCTGACAACTGAATTCCCCACAACGTCCCAACAATGCTGGTAGAACACCGGTTGTAAACCATCTGGCCCCGGGGCTTTGTATTTTCCCATGCTCCTTATTGAAGCCTCAACCTCTTGGGCCGTGAAAGCTTTGTTCAAACCCGCTTCCTCTTCCTGAATCAGTCTCACAAAACCATTAACGGGCAGCTTCTCCACAACCTCATCAACATCCTGCATAGAGTACAGTCGCTGATAATAATTGATAGCTAGCTGCTCCAGTTGTTGTTTAGTGAAGTAATAGAGAGGGTTACATCACGCTTAGCGGGTTGGAAGGGAAGATTTCTGAGTATGGCTGGAAGACTTACACTCACAAAATCAGTACTCTCTTCTATCCCGGTTCACACAATGAGTGTCATTTCCTTACCAAAGAGTAGTTTGGATCGGTTAGACAGGGTATCAAGGGACTTTTTATGGGGCAGCACGAAGAAAAAAGGAAACAACACTTGATTGCTTGGAAGAGAATTTGCAAACCGAAACCGGAGGGTGGATTAGGAATTAGAGCCGCAAAAGACATGAATAAAGCTCTAGTTTCTAAGTTGGTTGGAGATTAATCAAGGATGGTACGAGCCTTTGGGCACAAGTACTAAGGAGAAAATACAAGGTTGGGGATATCCATGATCATAAGTGGATGTTGGCAAAAGGAAATTGTTCAGCAACTTGGAGGAGTGTTAGTGTTGGCCTGCGAGAGGTGGTAGCACCAGGAGTGAATTGGGTTCTCGGGGATGGGAGAACAATTCGCTTTTGGATTGATAAATGGTTACATAACAAGCCGTTTCTAGACTTTCTAATCATGGATCTGCCTGGGGAATTCACAGAGTTGCGGGCTAGAGATCTCTGGACTAATGGGATGGGATGGAACTTGTCACAGATTGTACCATATGTTACGGGAATTACAAGACTAAAACTAGCAGCTGTTGTGTTAGATGATGTTACTAGAGCAAAAGTAGACTGTCGTGGGGTAGTGCAGATGGAGAATTCACCGTTAAGTCAGCTCATGCCTTCTTGACTTGCGATGAGGCTCCAAAACAGAGGATGGACTGTTTTTTCAAAAAAGTGTGGCAAGTGGTAGCACCGGAGAGAGTCAGACTGTTTTTATGGTTAGTAGCAAACCAAGCTGTGATGACAAATATGGAGAGGCACCGTAGACATCTTGGGGACAGCACCATTTGTCAAATATGTAGAGGAGGAGACGAGTCTATCATTCATATTCTACAGGATTGTCCCGCAATGGAAGGGATTTGGAGGAGAATAGTCCCTGCGCGGCGGCTGAGAGGGTTCCTTTCACAATCACTACTTGAGTGGTTGTATGGGAATCTATGCGATGAGAATATAATGGTTGAGAGTCAATGGGCTACTGTTTTCGCGATGGCGGTATGGTGGAGTTGGAAGTGGCGTTGTAGAAACATTTTTGGGACAAATGGGAGATGTCGGGATAAGGTGAAGTTCATTAAAGACTTGGCGCAGGAGGTGACACAATCTCACTCAAATCTAAGCGGAGAGACGAGCAGTGGGAGGCGGGTTGAGAGACTTATTGGCTGGGTCATGCCTAGTGATGGGTGGCTGAAACTAAATACGGATGGAGCCTCACGTGGAAATCCCGGTTTAGCATCAGCGGGTGGTTTTTTGAGAGATAATTTGGGGAATTGGTGTGGCGGTTTTGCAGTAAATCTTGGATATTGTTCAGCACCGGTAGCCGAATTATGGGGAGTCTATTACGGACTTTATATTGCGTGGGAGCGTCGGGCAACGCGTGTAGAGTTGGAGGTCGATTCACATATCGTTCCTAGTACGTTTGTGCTATGGCTTTTTATCAAAGGACTGAACAGTCCGTGTCAACCATGTGTATAGGGAGGCTAATCGTCTGGCGGATGGATTAGCGAACTATGCGGTCTCTCTACCATTGGGCTTTCATATGTTCGACTTACCGCCGGATTGTGTGAATTCTACTATGTTAGAGGATGTTAGCGGGTCTACAAAACCGCGAAATATACGGTTGTAATTTTTATTTTTAGTTTGAATAAATTTGGGGAGACATTGTCTCCCCTCTCCTTACCAAAAAAAAAAAAGTTCACAATTTTTTTATTATTATTATTTAATTTTACTATATATCTTTTCAAATATTTTTAATTCTATATACTATTTATTCTTGTTAACTAATATTACCAAAATTAAATATCTCAAATATTTAAACAAGAAAGCGTCTATAAAAAAAAAAAATTATATTAAATGCATTGTGTTTTTCAATTGAAAATTAAACAATATAATCATATAATATATTCATTTCAACACCAACAAATTCTTTCATATATTATAAAACTTTAATTTGAAACCGAAAATCTATAACTTATGAATAACATAATTGCTACTTTATTTGTACAATATAATTCATTAAAATATTTAAAATTTAATTTGCAGTTTTATTTGTACATTAAACGGTTGTGTTATTGCAGAGATATATATAGCATTATTTATAATTAAAATATTTTAGTGCACCTACTCCTACAGAACTTGGTTTTGATATCTCGGGATTCAAATAAATTTTAACCATTCTAATTTTACATAACAAACACCAACTTTAATTCTTAAATTTTGCAAACAAAATAAATTGTCTTTGAAAAAGAAGTTAACATAATAACATGTATTATATATACTTTTTAAGGTTAAACTTGTAAGAAAATTGCTCTGCATTGAGATATTTGAGATCAATGAATCATGACGTTAATGTAGCTTCTGAAAATTCTGAATTTTCCTACATTGACCTATTTGAGCTCAATGCATAAAGTCGATGCAATTTCTGTGAGCTTTATTTTTTATTTTTTGTCAAAGATTTTGTGAGCTTTAAAAACATGTCTTCTCCATCTCTCTTCTGCTCATGCTCTGTTTCGCCTGTCTAAAGCTCAAATGTCATCTAATCTCCGTTCATTCTTGTGTTGTACCTGAAATTGATTCAAAGACTCTACAAAACATGCAAGACTCCTAAAAGCAAAAATAACGAACAAAAATGACAAAAAAAATCAATATTCTAGAGAGAATAAAAAATATCATTGGACCCTATCCATGGTTAGAAAATCACACATATGCATCTAATTTTTTGAATTATCGACGAATTTTCAAAGAAATTTTCATTGACACGTTAAACTACTGAAACCTTAAATCGCACAAAAATATATTGAAAGTTGAAACCCTCTATATCTCAAAACTGATTTAACTCCAAATTATTTAAATACCTTTACAAGTAGAGACAAAGTTATTTTCATTTAAAGCATAAATATATATTTGAG